CCCACCCCGCCGCCGATCTTGAAAGGGACTCAGCCAGCCCTATGCGGTGAGCTGCTGCGCTAGACACGGCCCCATCCCCCACCCTCCCTCTCCCAATTCCTTCTCGACCACCCCGCACACCCGCAGACCGCAAATTTGCCACTGCACGGTGTGTGATAGTGCAAGGAGGGAAGGGCTGCTCAACAGATCCGTATCGATGTATCCGCCGAAGGGTGCGGCTGCCTGTGAGTGAGCTCACAGCGGGTTTCGGCGTGGTTCGCCTTTTCTTTCTTTTCCTTCGTTGTGACTGGATGATTTTGGGGGCGGACGTTCGGCGGGCGCAGACGCGCACGGGACTCATCAATCCTATAGGGACGCGGGCGGGGGGTAGATAGGAGTGAATGCACTGCCCGGCCCGGACCCCGGACCAGCCGGACCCACCCCACCAGAGAGGAAGAGATAAATTTCGCATGGATGGAATGACTCCGCCGCCGGAGTGGACTAGTACATATATATGGAAGCAGAAACAATGAAAAAAATATCGCAGATAAAAATGAGTGACCATTATTATTGTTATTATTAATAATAATATTAACGGGGAGCTTTCTGTGCGTTGCCCATGGCAATTATAACATTGGGTCATTGTCTTTGACTACCTTTCGGCTAATTTTTCACGCACAGGACACACTTTTGCCGTTGAGTAGAAATGTCGAGGGAACGATTTTTCAGTTTGGGTGAAATGAGTGGAGCTGTTCTGGTGACGGTGTGGAACCCCCCCTCCCCCCCGCCTTGCCACTGGTCGGGTGGTGGTGTAGTGTCGCGGCCTCCACGACCTGTTATCTCTTTTATACGACCGTTCCGACGGCGGCCGTAGGCACATCCGCGGCGGCCGGCTCCCCCTCCCCCAGCGAAGCACCATGCAGGGGGGCTTTAGGGGGGTGCATCGCCCTTCCTCGGTAAAAAGATGGTGAAAATCTTGGGAAACACTGCGTCTAAAAAGATGGTCAGCGCCGACCGCCATAACCACCACGGCCATACCATACCACCATCACGGGCGCCCTTCTCTGTGAGATACGAGGCCGATGGCCTGCTCGCCCCGCTCTGCGAATGATGCCGCGTTCGCCACAAACCGCCACGGTGCCGCTCTCCGCTGTCGGCCTGTGTGACAGGTTTGCATCTTTGTGTCTTTGTTTCACGGCAGCAGAACGCCAAAGGGCTAAAAGGCATCCACAGACCTCACAGGGCTGGCTGAGCCTTGGCGTGGCGTCGCGTCGCTTGGCGTGGCAGTATTCAGGTCGTTCGATATCAGTGGGCCTAGCGCACAGTCTGCACTGGCCCGGACCCTCGCCAGAGTACCTTAAACTGGTACGTAGAGAAATAAATTTCTAAAAAAAGGTACTTGAGATATTTTTCTGCTCAAAATAACGATGCGCGAAAACAATAATAAACCGTGCCCACTCTAAAACAACTTATCGTTCTCACAATATTTGACATATTTCGTTGTCACTCTGTATGGTACGTGTGTGTAATGTTTCTGGGTTGCTGTGGTGTTATTTGGCAGTGGCGATTGAGTTAAGACATCAAGGAAGCTATTTTTCACGTTCGGAATAAACGACTGTACGAGATTATTATGTAGCCATTACGGTTGGGGTTTATCAAGCACGCCATGCACTGTGCAGTATCGTGCATCCCCGCGTGGCCCGGCCTGGCATGGCCGGGGTGGCCCGGGGTGGCCCCATTTCATGCAACGCGGATTTCAATCCACATTTCCGTCGTTCCGATAAATGATAGCGGGGGAAGCCCATTACCGAGGGGGCTGGTCAACAGTCGAATGCCTGGTCTGGTCTGGTCTGATGGTCTGATCGGGTCGGGCCGGGTCTGCGCACCAGGGCCGCGAGTCAAGCCCTGAGTGATGGGACGACCGACACTCACGTGAACGTGTAGGGCGTGACATTTTGAAATCAGAACATCCTCGGGGTTCATAAAAATATGCGCTGGAATAGTGGAGCGTCGTCTTTATCTCAATGAGGAGGAGTAACGTAATTATTTCACCATATTTTTGGCACTTCAACCCCTCGACAGCCCAACTTCCTCGTTTGTTGAAGACAGCCACCACCCCCCACCCCTATACTTTCGCACTGTGTATACTGTGTACTGTGTACTCGCGCAAGGCGCACAGCAGCGCGGGCCGCGCGCCAGGCGACGATGTACACACAACGGCAAAGCGTCAATGGAATCGATCAGGAAATGACAGACAGCTAGCCGACGTGTGCAGGCGTGTCGCGGCGTGGCGTGGCGTGGTGTTGTGGCGCACGCTCGTTGTTATCCAGAGCGGCCCGCGCTC